ACCCTCAGCCCCAAGAGTCACCCCCTGTGCCCCAGAGGATCAGCCAAAGCCTCCTGCAGCTCTGGCAGCCTTGGGGCTGTGCCCACTGCCCTGGGGAGCCTGTTCAGTGCCCAACCAGCCTGGGGGGGAAGAACCTTGCCCTGAGATCCACCCTGAGCCTGCCCTGACACAGCTCCAGCCATTCCCTGGCTCCTGGTGGTTAAAATTCTTGCCTCTTTTCTGCTTGGGCTCTTAAAGATCCTTCCCCAGGTTTCACTGTTACTTTTATTTGTTTTTGAGTCACAAATAATTTCCAGCTCTGACTCATTAACTGAAAACACTCTGCCTTTTTATTTCTGCTTCATTTTACCTTAATATCTAAAATGTCACTCCTTGGCTCCCTCGTGCCTGAGCTCAGAGCCTGCATGACCTGGTGGCTCAAGAGACAGAAACTTCAAAGACAGATTAAAAAGTGGGTTTAATAAGGGGGGAAAAAAGGGTTAATTCCAGCTGCATGACACCCATTCCCCCCCCAATTCTTTGTGCCAGGTCATCACAGTTTCTCTCTCCCTTAGAGCTGTGACTGAATTGGCACATCAGCTTTTGGTAACATGGCAATTACTCTTATTGCTTTCAGCCGATGTTGTCACCAGTTTCCTGCTGATCATCATGTTGTTTGTCATCAGCTTCAACCTCCTCCTGGGTGTGCTGAAGGTAAGATCCCCTCCACAAGTGACATTTGGCTGCTGGCTCAGCTGGTGGGTGGCTTTGGAGGAGGGGGCTGGAAGGTGAAATATGATCAGAAAAGCAGATAAATCTCTGTGTCACCGTGTGGGAGGGGGACTGTTTGCAGCCACAGACTCGTCTTCCAGGCTGCCAAATGCCAGGTTTACCAAATCTGGGCAGCATTTCCATCAAGGCTAACTTCTGTGGGTTAAGTGATGGAAATGCTGTGGCTGGGAATGTTTGATTGCCTCGTTTCCTTGCTCTTTGGCAAGCCAGATCCCAAAGAGGAACTGTAACTCCCCTCTTCCCACTTCAGGAGGAGAAATGACAATGCCCCGAGGTGGAAACCCAAGTAATTTGGTGTCAGTACCAAGTTTAAGCCCTACCCAAGCAGCAAAGCTCTCCCTCTGCACGGTAAATTTTGGGGACAGTGGAATGACAGCTCTGATGGGATCACCTGCCAGAGTGAAAACTCACAGTGTGTGGAGTCAGGTGCAGAAATTCCAGGGATTCATTTAATCTTGGAGCACCTGTCAGGTATTGATAGCTGGTCTCATTCTCCCAGCTGGAACAGAAATGACTGGAATTGCTTTTCTTCCTCAGAAGAGGGAACGTCTCCTGATCCCCTTCCTGGCCCTGCAAGTCATTGACTTCCTGCTCAGCCTCCTGACCGTGTTCAGCTCCTACCTGCAGGTCCCAGTGGTCCTTTCTGTGTCCTCCCTGAGCCACACGGTGGGTGACAGCTCCTTCTGGGGGGTCTTCTCTGCTTTTGATCAGATGGAGAGTGGAGGGAATAAAGGATCGTTATTTTGGGCCCCAATTCTTCACAGAATCACTTGGGTTGGAAAACACCTGGGAGAAGATCAAGTCTGGAGGCAGGATGCAATCCAGAATGGAGGGTTCATAAGGAAAATTAGTGACAGCTGGGGGCATTTAGCTTCCCATGTCTACAAATCCTCCTGTTGGGTTAATTTTGTCTCGTGGCTTTTTGGGGGGGGGGGGGGGGGGGGGGGGGGGGGGGGGGGGGGGGGGGGGAAAGGTGTTTCTGGGAAGGGTTTGCTGGAAAATTGGGACTATCAGTGCTCCAGGCAGGGGCCTCTTCTGTGGAGCTTGTCTAAATCAACCCACCCAGATGGTTTGTTCCCCATCCTGGCCAGAATAAGTGGATTTAACAGCGTGAATAAAGCACAGGCCCCTGTGTAAAATGGGAAGAAACCTCCAGAAGGGCCACAATGCTGTAACCACACCCAAATTCCCGTTGCAGCAGGGGCACTCCAAGATCCCTCTCCTGGCTCTGCAGCTGCTGGACTTCTGCCTGAGCATCCTCACCCTCTGCAGCTCCTACATGGAGGTGCCCACCTATCTCAGCCTCAAGCCTGCAGACAGCGGGGTAGGTCACGAAAAATCGTGAGATTTTTCATGCTCTGAACTCCTGCAAAGTTTCCTTCAAGATTCCACTTCCTCTGGTCTCCCTGTTCGACCACAAAAGAGGTTTTTTTTTTCGTGAGTTCTCCCCACCACGGTGTCCTTGACTGACAGCTTGTTTATCCCTTAAAAGCACACCTTGTTTTCCTTGTTCTCCTTGTCAGGATCTCATGGATGCAAATTGCAGATGCAAAATGATTTGGACAGACCTGCCTGCACACGCTGAAAGTGCAGCAGCAACTTTTCACCTCTGTTAAACAGTTCTGCTTTTTTAATTCTCGTTGAAATCATCTGCTGGAAGGTGTTTCTCATTGGGAAAGGGAGGTTTTCCTGATTCCTGAGGGACCTTGAACACCATCACTGTGCCTGGACCTGGTGTTTGTGGCTGAGACCTTCTCCCTCTTTCCACAGGGATTTTTGCCAACCCTGGAGAAGCTGCCAACAGAGGAATATGCCAAAGTGATGATCACCTTCACCATCGCCTTCATCGCCGTCCTCTTCCTCAAGGTAAATGCTGGGGGGGGGCTGAAATGAAGCTCCTTTATCTGGGGAATAGGAAAATTTGGGGTTACTTCTCTCCCAAACCTACCAGGGCACTGGAAAGCCTTGTTGGTGTCTCCAACAGGAGCTGGTGTGAGGCAGGACTAATATCCAAATCCCTGGTTTTCTGCTCCTGCAGATGCGAGTTAGAAAGTTACAAAATCTCTCTTAGCTCCAAAATAAGAGTTACAAAACCTCTCTTAGATTCAAAACCTCTTGCTGCCCATTCATCTGTAGAAGGATCAGAGGGTTGAAAGCAAATGTTGTAGGAAAGCACTCTGCTGCTGTGGGATAAAATAAATCAGATTATTAGGCAGTGGGTTGGATTTTCCACTGGGGTAAGTGGCTGTATCCACACTGGGGTGAGCAGAGTTCTGCACTGACACCCTGGAAGTTCATTAAAAGCAGCAGCTGTTGAATCCTGCAGGCTCCTGACTGTGAGATGGTTTCTATTCCTCTTGCTCCAGTGGATCAGAGAACACATTTTTCACTGAGGGGTTTCAGGCCCACTGAGAAAACCAGATCTCTCCAGGTACTTGGGCAGGTTCTGTCACAGTGAAAAATGCTGCTTGTTAGTCGGAAAACACTTTATATTCTTATATTCTGACTCTTCTCAGGTGGCCAGATAAGGCAGGGTGGAGTGTCTTGTCTTGTGTGGTTGCACTGCAGGCATGGCTTTAGCATATCTTGGAATATTTGCATGAATTATGGAACAGGAGTGGAGATAACCCTGCAGCAGTGGGGTCTGCAGCAGGAATCTCACTGACCTGGCAAATGGGCTGCTTGGAATTTTCCACAGGATTAGGTCCAAAACTGCTTAACTTGCACTGACTCCTCGTGCTGGAGTTTGGAGGAGGAGGGATGGGGGAGGATAATTAAAATGACAGTGGACAGGTACAGGTCTCTTCTAAGTACCCCAAAGTATTGCCCCCAGTAATACAATCAGCCCCAATAACGTGGAAAGTTCTTAAAGAAGTTTCCAAACCAAGTTATTTTATTTCTTATCTCAGTTTTTAATGGCACTGTCTCTTTTGAGTAGTTCCCTCTCTCCTCAGTTATTTATCCCTTTTTCTCCTCACAACTCCTACCACAGCATCCTCTGCTCCCTTGGGTGCTCTTGAAATTCAACCAAATTCAACCAAACCAACCCTTTGGACTTCTCCTGGTCTGCTGAGCTCCCCCAAACTCCCCCTAAAGGAAGCCCATCCTTTAAACCCAGTGACAATCCCAAAGACCTCGATGAGAAATGTGGCCACCATGAAACATTTTATGATGAAGACCAGATGAGAAATGTGGCAAAGAACACTGAATATTTTAGGCCTAAAAAAGGCCATTTGGCCAATTTAGGGCCCATTGGTTTCAACCCACTGAATGCCCACACCGAGGTATTCTCGAAATCATGTTGGACTGAGGTCTTTTTGCATAAATGGGCTTGCTTAACGACCCATCCCAAGCATTTATTGCCCTGAAATTGTTCTGTGTGTGCTGCTCTTCGCTGCCAACTCGCAGTTACCGGCCCCAAATTGTTGCCTGCATCCCACACCGGGGCATAACTCAGCTGAAAGGGGTGTGTCACACGGAGCAGACGGGCCACCTGCCCCACTGACTCTGCCAGAGACCTCGTGGGAGACCTGCAAGACTTTCCCTCATCCTCTTGGCAGGGAAGATTTCCCGCTGGGAGGTGCTGCTGCTCCTCTCCCTCCTCCTCCTCCATCACCACGGTGATAATGCAGGGAAAAAAAAAAAGGGGGGAATGAAGCATTTCTGCTGGGAAATGAAAACAGGCTTTGACAGAAGTGCTGCTGAAGCTGCTCCTCCCCGACCTCCAGGACGAGCTTTCCATCCCCTTGCTGAGTCAACAGGTGCCAGAGGAGTTTCCCCTCTCCAACCCAGTGTGGAGAAGGGTGTCCTGCAGTGCCTCAGGAGTGGTTTGGGATCATCCCAATGTCCCTGCCTGCCTTTGCATAAGCTCTGGACTGATATATCTGCTCAAACCTGCAATTGCTTTGCAGGAGTCGATGTCATTGAACTCACTGCTTGGCACTGAAGCAAACTGCTCCAGAATCAAACCCAAAGAATGGATTCTTCTGTAGCTTTATTTTATTTTATTATTTTATTTTTTATTTTTTTATTTTATTTTATATTTTGTACTATTTTATATTCTATTCTATTTTATTCTATTCTCTTTATTTTATTGCATTTTATTCTATTCTCTTAATTCTATTTTATGCCATTTTATTGTGTTGTATTTATTCTCTTTTGTTCCATTTTATTCTATTCTATTTATTCTATTTTATTCTATTCTATTCCATTTTATTCCACTTTATTCCATTTTATTCTACTTTATTCTATTCTATTGTATTCTATTCTATTCTATGCTAGTCTATTCTACTTTATTTTATTCTATTTTATTCTATTCTATTCCATTGTATTCCATTTTATTCCACTTTATTCTATTCCACTTTATTCTATTCCACTTTATTCTATTCCCCTTTATTCTATTCTATTTCATTCTATTTTATTCTATTCTATTTTCTATTTTATTCTATTCTATTCTATTCTATTTTATTCTATTTTATTCTATTTTATTCTATTTTATTCTATTTTATTCTATTTTATTCTATTCTATTCTATTTTATTTTAATTTCCTGGCCTTTCTTCCACAGCTGAGTGGAGGTTTTGACACCTTCAGTGCCTTCCCCATCTCCTCTCTGTACAAAGAATCTTTTGGGGGTGGGGAGGTTCTTGCAGCATCCCCTAAAGGTACTCAAGGCTTCACCTCCTCATCCCTGGCCCTTTGAGAACTGGATTCCTTCAGCCAGATCCTCATTCCCTGCTCTCATTCTTTGGCTTGGCTCTGTGTCCCCTTTGTCCCAGGAAATGCTTTGCTGTTTTTTGGGATGTACAACTCCCTGTGTTCCTCTGCAAAGGCCAGGGTGGAGCCTCAGGCCAAGGAAAACAAGAGGCACACGACTCCTGCTGCCCAGAGGAGGGGGAAATATTGATTTAACAGGGGGGTGTTACACAGACTTGCTTATTTTCATGTGCCACGACCCATCAATCGGGCCATTTTTCCAAGAAAAGCTCCATTTACTGCGCCGGGAGGTGCAAGGAGGTCCTGTCAGAGGAGTGGAACTGTTGCAAGGACAGGATTTGGTTGGATAAACTCGCTTTTTGGGTCAGTCCGTGAAGCCTTGGATCTCTGGAGGGTGGATGTTGTGCCTGAGGTGCTTTTTGAGACGTCCAGGCACTGAAAAACAACATTAAAATGTGCTTTCCTTTCCTCCTGGTGACACTTGTGCTGCCAGGGGTCACAGACATTGGATTGAATGTGCTTTAAACAGCCTGAATGTGCTTGAAACTTTATATTTAAAATGCTTTAAACATGGTATATAATATGCTTGAAACATGATATTTAATGTGCTTGAAATACGATATTCAATGTGCTTGAAATATGATATTTAACATCCTTGAAATATGATATTTAATGTGATTTAAACGTGATATTTAATGAGCTTTTGATGGCAAAAGTGGGAATGTTCTTGTTGACCTGCAAGGCAATGAAAAAAATGCCATTTTCCCCCTTTTTTTTTTTTTTTTTTTTTTTTTCAGGCCTACATGTTCAAATGTGTCCTGAACTGCTTTAATTATCTCAAAGCCAGCAAGAGAGAGGAGGTCAAAGTCGACCCACAAGCAGTTGAAAAGGTGAGTAAAAAACTACATTTCAGACTCCTGAGATCCCTGGTGACCCTTCCCTCTTCTTTAGTGGTCTGAGAGAGAGTTCAACCCTTCAAATGTGCACTGGCAGGTGCTGATAATCACTTTCCAATTATATGATATTACCTATATTATATATATTTATTATTTTTGTATGAAATCTTTCCATGGGCTCTGCAAGGAACCTGCAACTCAGGCCTCAGGCCCAGCAGATAAACGGGAATATAAATGGGAATATATCACTTGTAATCTCTGAGCTGGAGCTGTGGGTTAAATTTCAGCTGAACTTTGGGTTTTGTGTCCAAGAGTTAAACAAACTAAGCTTGTCTTCACCTTTCCCAGGGTCAGTCTGAGTGATTTGGTGCATTGCCCTTCACCTTAATGATTTGATAAGTAATGAACCTCAATGTCCCTCCTTGGATTAGTGGTGATCTCTCCATGAGCAGCTGCTCTGATATGATGGAAAATTATTGAATTGTGGAATATCCTGAGCTGGGAGGGGCCCACAGGGATCATCCATCCGACCCCCTGGCCCTGCCCACACATCCCAACAATCCCACCCTGTCCCTCAGAGCGCTGTCCAAACCCTCCTGGAGCTCTGGCAGGTTTGGGGTTGTGCCCACTGCAAGCTGGGAACTTCTAAGACCTTTAACAGTGTGAAGATGCTCCTCTAACTCTGCTGGATCCCTGCACTCCCATGTGGCTCTTTCACTCTGAACCAGGGGCAGAAACACACCCAAGATCCAACCCAGAGCATAACTGATGGTCTTCTCTTCCAGGCTGTGCTGCCATCCTATGAGGAAGCCTTGGAGGTGCCTTCCAAGGAGTCCCCACCACCTTATGTGACAATCTAAGCCCTGCTCTGGGGGGAAAACAACATCTGTGCTGCTGCTGGTGCCTCCTCCCCCTGCTGTCAGTCAGTCCCACTGAGAAATCCTTGCTCTGGAGCAGCTCCAGGATCCCATTCCAGCCCGCCGTGTGCTCCTGCAGAGTGCTGGGATTTGGTGCCTTGTCCCACCCT